ATTTAACAACACAGAAAAAGAATTATGCACAACAACCAAGTAGGATATGTAAGGCTGGTTGGACATTTGAAAAATCCATTTGAAAAACTCCAATATACAAACATGATTTAAAGAAAACAAAAAATAAAACTCAGAAACTAGGAATCTAAAGGGATTTCCTCAAGTTGATAAAGAACATATTTGAAACCAAACCAAAAAATTAGGCAGCTAATATAATGTTGAGAAATATAAATATTCCTGCTAAGATAAGGAGTATGGCAAGGATATCCTCTCTTCACATTCCTTTTAAACATCATATTGGAAATTCTATCTAATGTAATAAGAAATGTGTACAGATTAATAAAGAAAACTCTTTGTTAGCAGATGGAATGGTTGTCTATGTAGAAAATGTGCAAGACTCAATTAAAAAAAACTGCTAGAACTAATAAGCAATTATAGGAAGGTCAATATATAAAAGCCAATCAAACATTTTACAACAATGAGCAAGTTGAACTTAAAATTTAAATTATAATAACCATGTACACATAGCACCACCCCAAAATGGAATACTAAAGCATAAACCTAATATGTACAAACATGAGAAAAAATGAAATTGATCATTTTCTAAGTTGTAATTAACACAATGCCTTTATTTTATTTATTTATTTTTATATGGTGCTGAGAATGGAACCCAGTGCCTCACATGTAAAAGGTGAGTGCTCTGCTGAGCCACAATCCCAGCCCAGTAAACCTGATTTAAGAAATCAAAGAGTCAATAAATGGAGAGAGAGTCCATGTTCAAGATGCTTCCTTGCTTTGTGTCCTTCATTCCTACAATGTGTCTGGATGGGTAATAACTTCCCACTTCCAGGACCTTGGTCTCTGATTTCCACATTTCAACCTGGCTTAGCATATCCAGTCTCCATTCAACTTCTGTCAAAAGAGCTTTTCAACAGGCCCAGTACAGAGCAACAGAACTGGGGATTCCCTCTTACTAAAGATCTTGGATGCACTGTCTCTGGCTCTTTAATCTACAAGTTTAAGAACCATCAAGTTTTCTTCAAAACAAAAATAAGTAAAATTTTTTAATGCTCATTATATGAAATTCTAAGAAAAAGGCCAGTGCAACGTGATTTTAATGGGAACAAACCCATCCTTTTTTTTTGCAAAAACCTATACTCCCTAGTAATCCTTGGGACAGAGTGAATTTAAGAGAATTTCAGCTAC